GGGAAAGCGATTATCCCCTGCCTGCGGTGGATCTTCTCCCCCACTTCTCGTTGAGATGGAGGAGAGAAAGAGGCCTGCCACCCCTCCAGGGGGGCAGATAGATAGGGGGAAGGCCCCTATCTGCCTCTCTGGCCATGGTTTGGAAACAAGGCCACAGAAGGGGAGGCACCCTTCCAAGGGCAAGGAGGGCAGCCTCGCTTTCCAGCCGTGGCTGAGCTGAACAGCCCCCCCCCGGGTGCCCACATGCCCCCCTCCCAGTCCCAGAGCCAGGCACAGCCTTTCTCCCGGCCCGAGGGGGTGCCTCTTCCTTTCAGCACTGAGGGCTTGGGCAGTGGGGCTTCTCCCGTGTTATCATCATCGTTTCGGAAGTGGCGCTTCCTCTCTCCTCTCCTCCCCCCAGAGTTCCCTGATTGAGCGCCTGGGCCGGCGGACCCTGCTCTGGGGCGGCTACGCCTCCATGGTCTTGGTGCTGGCTCTGCTCACAGTGACCCTCTCGCTCCAGGTAAGGGGCCGTCTCAGCGCCCATCGGAGGGCCAGTGTGGGGAAACGGATCTGGGGCCGTTTGGAGGGCAGGAGCACGGGCTGACTGGAGCCGGGATCCAGAAGCCCCTCAAAACGTCCCTCTGCTTCTAAGCCATGAGCTTCTTCCCCCCCCCCACCCACACCACAGCCGACCCGCAGGCACCTGTTGTGACGGCAGGCAAGAGAGGGGGTTGATCTCAAAAGGTTTTTTCCCCCCTTCTAGCACCACTACTTTTGGATGCACTACGCCAGCGTGGGGCTCATCTTCCTCTTCGTCCTCTTTTATGGGATCGGGCCCTGTGAGTAGCCCCAGGCTTTGGAAGGGGGGGCCAGTTGGTGGGACTGTTCCATTTCCCAGGGAGCTAAGGGGGCAGTCAGGGTAGGTGGGGACCCCAGATCCTGGGCAGGCCGGCCGAGGTGTGGCAGGACAACCCCCGGGTGTGTGGGCTCACCCGTTCTGCCTGGCTGCGGGGGCGGGGGGGGCTCATCTTGCAACCCCTCCCCGGAGAGCATCACCAGCAGCAGGGGCAAGAATAGAGACGGGGTGGGTCTGCCCTGTGCCAGGTCCTGCCCCTCGTCTGTCCCTGGGAGGGTGCGGGAGGCCCCAAAGGAGGTTCCCGGGATGCCTGCTTGGAAGGGAGCCAGTCCTGGGACCCACAGCCGGCGAGCCAGTAGCACAGCAGAGAGCCCGCAGGCCACAGCTGGCCCCATCGGGTGGGGGGCCCTCCCTCCCCTGCCATCTGCAGGCAGCAGGCGAGGCCAAGGGGCTGAAAGAGCAGAGGGGGGGGGAGACAGGACAGCAAAAGGAGGGGGGAGAGGAGGGGGGTGTTGGTGGACTGCTGCTGCCCCCGCCCCAGCCTTGCGCCGCCTGCCTGCCTGCCTCTGGCAGCCCCTTCACGCCCCATAAGGGTAAGGCCAGCCCTGGGCCACGTCCAGCAGCGAAGCCTTCCACAAGAGCCCCCACAGCCAACCTCCCATGGGGCCCCAGGGACGCAGGGAGCATGCTGGGTTTCCCTTCCTCTCCGCCTCTGCCAGCCGGAGCCACCATTTCTGTCATGGTGGAGATCTTCAACCAGACCTTCCGCCCGTCTGCCTTCGTGATCGTGGGCATCCTCAACTGGATGGGCCTCTTTCTGCTCGGGATGATTTTCCCAGTCATCGTGGTAAGAGAGAATCTGCCGAGGGCCACACCACGGGGTGTGTGTGTGTGTGTGTGTGTCACAGGAAAACAGACTGGGCCTGAGGCTTCAGCCGTGCCCTCTGGGGGCTTTAGCCAGGAAGCCAAAGAGCAGAGAAAGGGGGGGCGCAGGTGGGGGAGCTCCTTTGCAGGGTCTCCTTTGGGTGGGGATCACTTATTTCTTTTGAACTGGACCCCTCTGCCCCCCCCGGCCACCCCCCCAAGAACCCCCTTCAACCTGTTGCACAAGACATGTCCTCAGAATCAAAACCCTCTGGAGGCGAGGGATTTGGTCTGTGTGCACTAGAAATGGGGCTGAGCTCACGGCCCACTCCCTCCCGGTGGCCCCTGCTCAGAAGTCACTTTTCTGAACTAGGACAGCCTTCTGGGTGTCGTAGTCAGAAAAGCACCGTCCTCGGATCCTGCCCAGTCTTCCTTCACCTCAGTTACACAGCTGGGAGAGGGCGGGCCCAAGTGTGTGCAGTCTAGCTTATTATGGGGTTCAGAAGTTGTTTCACGCCTGGCAATGGAAAAAGGGCCGCATACTTTCTCGCAAGCCTGCCGTGATGCCGTTTCATACCATCAAGTCGGAACCGAATTATAGCAACTCTCGTGTTGTATATATATAAATGAGTTGCCTTTCAGACCCAATCTCATATTTTCCCTTTTATTTCTGTTTTCAGGAGCACCTTGGGCCCTTCTGCTTCCTGATCTTCATGGCTATTCTCGCCGTTTCGGGCGTCTTCATCTACCTGTTCCTCCCAGAGACAAAAGGGAAATCCATCATGGAAATTACGATGGAGTTTAACAAGCTAAATTATGGAAAGAAACAAGTTTTCCCCACAGAAAATAATTTCCTGAAGGAAACGGTCTTCTGCACCAGGCTGTGATTCCTTGGCTTGGGGGGAACTCTTGGGGGCCGCTGGTTGTGCCACCCAGAGCAACCCAAGGACAGGCACTCCGTCCTGGACAGACTCTCCACCCTCCCTCGGTGACCCCTCCAGCAGAGAACATGCCACCCACGCCTGCCCAGGCCCTGCTGGAGGCTCCTGCCCGAGCAAGAGGGTGCAGCCCCAGGCAAGGGACGCTGGCCGGCCGACGGGGAATAAATGTTCACCGTATTTGCCCTCTGATGTGTGTGTGTGTGTGGGGAACGACTTCCCCATGGATCTAGCCCTTTCTGGGTGGCTGCGGCGGTGGGAGGAGGGGAGAGACATGACCCACCACCGCTGGGTTAGGGGGCTTGGGCGGAAGGGTGGCACAGCCATTAGACTGTGGATGCAGCTCAGGAGACCCCACAGTTGCTGTGATCAGAAGTTCCTTCCTGAAAACTTTCCTTTTGTCACCCTGTGGAGCCAGCCTGCCAGGTAAGCGGCCCAGGTGTTGTCTGTCTCTACTTTCCCCTCCCTCACTGGGCTGCTGTAAGGAACACAGGGGGTGGAAGAGGCCAGCCCTGTGTCCCACTGCCTGCCTGCTTGTATGCTTTTGAAGAATGTTCTGTGAATAGGAGCTTCTGTTGTTAAATACATAATGAAGATGTAAAAGTGGCCTTCCAGGCAACATCAGTTTCTTTGGAGGAATTCAGTTTCTTCCTTCTTACATCTTT